ATAGTCAGGGGGTGGGGTGCTGAAAGACTGAGGTTTTCAAAGAAAGGGTTCCGTTCTAGTGCATGGTCTCACATGCTGGGGAACTTAGAGCCTGGAGTCCCTGTGGCCCTCCTGGAGTGGAGGGGCCAGACTAGGGCTCTTGCTTGGACCCCAGGGACCATGGAAACAACACTGGGGAAGGATGGGCTTGAGGTTCTGGAGGGCAAATGTCAGAGATGCAAATCGAGAACAGCCTGCTCCCGCCCAGCTCCGCTGGAGCCCAGGCCCTCCTTGCCTCCCAGCCTGCTGCCCTGCCAACTCAGGCTCTGTCCTCCCTTTACATGCCCCTGTATGGGGACAGCAAGGACCTGTCTCTGCCCGTTTACCACCCTCTTCTTGGTGGCATTCCCCATTGACAAGGAACTTTCATCCTGCGTCTTCTAGGGGCCTTACAAAAACAAACAAACAAAAAGCCAAAATCGACCCACTGCATGGACCAGGGCTGCTCCCTGGAGGCTCCGAGCCCACAGCCTCCTCTTTCTCCTGCAGAAGCATGGTGTGTTTCAACCACCAACCTTTCAGTTGGCAGCTCCAGGTTTAACCCATTGTGACCCCGGGCGGGAACCCTGACACACCTAGGTTTCTGGAAAGGGAAACTGAGGCGTTCCAAGGAGGGTAGAGACTGCAGCAGAGCAAGGGGGCCCGTGGACACCTCAGAGCCCAGCACTTGGCAGCAGGGAGGAGGGCACGGTGTAGACACCACCCCGGCTGCCTTCTGGGGTTCCTTCCAGGAGACCCCTCCTCTTGTCTCGCTGTCCCCGGAAGTACAGGGGCCCAGGAGCCGCCTGCCACAGCCGCTGTGGAATTAGTTCAGGGAAGGAGTTGCTCACCTGCTCCTCCCCTCTGACTCAAGTTGTAACAAGTAACCTGGCTCCTCTGGCCGGCAGCCTGGGAGGGAGGGAGGGAGGGAGGAAGGGACTGGGCTGGGCTGGGGGCGGTGGAGGGGAGAGGAGCGGCCCTCATCGTGCACACAGAAGCCTGCCCAACGACAGAGCACCAGCCTGTGGCCTGGGAGACCCCGAGGCAACATGCGAGCCCCCTTGGGCCCCTGACCCAAGAGCAGGGTGTTTTCTGGACTCCTGGACAAACGCCCAAAAGCAGGTGAGGGTGGGGCAGGGTTGAGCGGTCTTTGGGGCTGAAAAGCCAGCTAGCTGGCCTGGGAGTCGGGAAGCCTGGGCAGTCACTGCCACCACCACCACTGCGCCTTCTATCCATGGCGCAGGGGTGGCGTGGTGGGGCTGGAGGTCCAGATGGGAGGGGTAGGGGCTCTCGGGGGAGCCCCCCAGGAGAAGGGGCCCGGAGGGATGAACTGGAACAGAGAGGTCCAGAGCCTGGCCTTGGGGCACCCTGAGAGGACATACATCGGCTTATGTCTTCCCCCCTCTACTCTCTTCTGGGGGTGCTGTCTGTCCGAGGTGGGGTTGGGGCCGCTTCCGAGGGCTCTGACCTGGGCAGGCGGTGAGAGGAGCGGAGTCCTGGTACTACTGGCTCTGGCCGGGACAGATTCCTGTGTTTCAGGTGGGGGCGGGGTGGGCACAATACCTGAATTGCCTTTTTTTTTTTTTGGTTTGTTGGAAAGTAGCTCATGTGTCACAAAGGAATTTAAGTCTGCTTTTGTTGGACTTTCCCTCCTTTAACAGCCCCGCAGACCCGCTCTGAGGCCTGTTGGGTAAGCAGTCTCGAGGGCGTCCAAGGCTGTGACTCCTTTCTCTTTAATTTTTTGAAAAATTAATTCATTCTTATTATCATTACTACTATTTTGCCGTGGGTTGCCTTAGATCAGCGGTTCTCAACCTGTGGGTTGGGACTCCTTTGGGGGTCGATTTCACAGGGGTCGCCCGATTCATAACAGTAGCAAAATGACAGTGATGAAGTAGCAACGAAAATAATGTTATGGTTGGGGGTCCCCACCCCATGAGGAACTGTCTGAAAGAGTCACGGCATTTGGAAGTGGTTGAGAACCACTGCCTTAGATCTAAAAGCATTGCCTTAACACTTGTGACCTGAAGATTCACTCATGCATTTCAGGGTGGGGAGGGCCCGAGCTCTGGTCCTGGGACCCTGGGGAAGGACAACTCTGGCCAGGGTCGTGCGTGGCTGGGTGGGTGCCTTGCCCAGCCTGAGAGGGCTTTAGACTCCCTCCAGTTTCATTGTACGCTGAGGAAAGCAGGCCCAGAGAGATGTGGGACTTCCTCAAGGTCACACAGCTGAGCAGCACTAGAGTCCTGGTGTCCAGATCCCATGGCTTGTGTACTTTCCCTGCTTGGGAGGGCATGGGTCCAGCATCAGATTGGGACCCCTGTGAACGCAGGTGCCCCCTCCTCCACCCCAGAGAGCGAGGGTCTGGCTGATTTGAGGACGTCTGAGGGAGAGGGTAGGAGGGATAAAGGGGCTGTGTGCTCACCCCCAATCCCTTCATCCCTCTAGACCCCCTCCTCTCTGCCACAGTCCAGACAGTCATGGAGCCCCTGAGGAAGCTGGCTTGTTAGTTGTCACAACTTTCCAAGCAACCCCCTGGAGGTTAATAATTAATTAGCAAGCATGACTAATTAGTGACCTTCCCCATGCATCACCTCCTGCCCTGGTCCCTCTTGCCTAGCTTCCCTGCCCTGGCTCAGCAGGTGGGAGGAGTAGTGAATAGGTGCCCCACTGCCAGCTTCCTATCTCTGGGGAGCTGGGAGGGATTGACTGAGCTTTGGGGGGGGGGCATGCTCACCGTGTACTTTAGGATCCCCTGAATATATGGCCCCTCTCTCTTTGGAATGTTTGCAAAGACCCCACCTAACAACCACCCCCCTTTTGTATTTTTTAACCCAATCATTCATTCTCTCGACCTCCTTGCAGAATTGAAGTCCCCCAGTGCAGCTGCTCTCAGGGTTACATCTTCAATGATTGCTTTGAGAGGCGGAGCTGTTTAGCTAGGTCTATAAAAACCTGTGATTGATTGTCCTGCTCTCTGATGGACAGGGACTGGCGGGACCTGGGGACTTTGCTCCCTCTCCCTCTCTGCCTGGCTTCTCCAGAAAGCGTTTCTTCCTTGTGAGCTGCACCAGGGGGTGGAGTCCCACCCTCCCCGACCAGCCTGTGGGGTGGGGGGGCAGGCAGGATAAGCTCCAGACAGAAACTCGGAAGGACTTTTGGACTCTTGCTCAATGGGGCTGACTCAGTGAGGAGGTGGCGGGGCTCCGCCTGCCCCTCCCCATCCCTGATCCTGCCAGCAGCTGCCTGGCCAGCTGGGTCCCTGACGGGGGCTGTGGGCTCGGTGAGCAGATTGGGGGCAGGCAACAGGTGTTGTTTGGGTGTCTGGTCGGGTTGACACACAACCGGGATTGCTGCGTTCATTCCATCCTAGTGCTCCCAAGCCAGGAGGCCATGCAGCCTTGACATGGTCCCCGCCCCTGCCCCCCGCAGGTTCCACCTGGCTGTGGGGTGTGGCCAGTTGGGTCAGCTTGCCTGTGGGAGGTCTCCCGGGCAGAGCTGGTGGCCCTGTAGCCCCGTTTCACTGGGATTGGGCCAAAGGCACCTGACTTTGGGTGAATTGCCTGGTCCACAGAACAGGGGACCTTGGACTTTGGGGACACCCAGAACAGGCCCTTGGCTGAGCCAAGACACTTCTCAAAGAGCCCTTGCCCATTGAATGTGCCTCGGAGTTCTTGGACAGGGCCCCCTCAACGCCCTGGTTCCGTACCACAAAGGCAGGCCCTGGGCTCCTGCCTTGGCCCTCCCTGAGCTCCGTTTCTAGCTCCCTCCTCTTCCTTCTCTTTCTGCTCTCGCTGGTCAGTCTCCCCAGACCTGGGGGCTATCACCACCTTGGGGGTGTTGGCCTCCAGCC